ACACCCACATATATACACCCACATATATACACCCACATATATACACAAACATACACACTTTAGCTATTAAACGCTGATGAGTTGACTGTCCTTTGTAATAGACCAAGATGGTGCCAACACATTCATCCTGGCCTCTTCCTAGGCTGTTGCCCATACACTAGGCTGCACCACCCATTCTATTTTCTAAGAATGCCTAAGCATTAGAGGCCATAAGTGGTAGCCAGAAATTAGACTAACACAACTGATTCAAGGCATAAGCTTTTGAGGGCTCAGTGACAGCTCGGAAACGCTATTCCTTTAATAAAATCTACTGGTCTGGACCCTGCCAACAAAAGTGTGCATAGTCAAGGCTCTGGTTTTCCCAGTTGCAATGGATGGCTGTGAAAGTTACACCATAAGAAAGGCTGAGCACCAAGAATGGAGGCCTTTGAACTCTGGTGCTGGAGAAGACTCCTGCAAGTCCCTTGGACTGCAAGGTGATCTAACTGGTCAGTCCTGAGGAGATCAACCCTGACTGCTCTTTAGAAGGCCAGATCCTGAAGAGGAACCTCAAATATTTTGACCACCTAATGAGAAGGGAGGACTCCCTGGAGAAGAGCCTCATGCTGGGAAAGACGGAGGGCAAAAGAAGAAGGGGACGGCAGAGTGGCTGGATGGAGTCACTGAAGCAGTTGGGATGAGCTTAAATGGACTTCAGAGGATGGTAGAGGACAGGAAGGCCTGGAGGAACGTTTTCCATGGGGTTGCGATGGGTTGGACACAACTTTGCAACTAACAACTGGTCTGAAAAGGTGCTACAGGAGTCCTTCTCATTTGGGGACTCATCTGCGGGGTGAGAAGCACTTTCATCAAGCAAGTGCACCAGAGGTGGGCCTCTTGCCAGCTTCCCATTTTTAAAGACAGCAGGTTGCTGAGCAGAAATCAGGAAGCACCTAAGGGTACTGAATTGCTAATGTCACCGAGATATTGCCTTTTAAATATGTTGCAGCAAAAATAGCCGAGAGTCTGGGGTCACCTTAACACAACCTTGTAAATAAGCCCAGAATAGTTACTAACATTTTTTTAAAAGAAGCATGTCAATGAATAGGGAACACTCTGTCTTTGTCACAGTCAAACCCAAACAATAAAGATAAGTTATGACCTTCCCTCCTTTTTTCCCAGCCATGCAGTGAAAAGGATGGTTGTGGCCTGCCAGCGGCCAGCTTTGTTAGTGGCTGTATCCCAGGCCCAAATCTCTGCCGTAAAACTACCGCCCATTTGTTGTGGCCCGCCAGTGGCCAGCAGAGCTGGAAGCAGATTCAGACAGTGAGGAGTTTGGGGAGGAACCTGGGCCAGTCCTGCAGTCTGGGGAAGACTCTGATGAGGGCTCTGTGTCGGAGGCAGAGAGGGGGCCAGAGCCGTATGCCAGTTATCAACTGCCTTCAAAGTCAGACATCAGTGGGGCAGATGAACAGCTGGAGCCTGATCCCAGTGTGCGCATGTGCAGAGCTGCCAGGAGAAGGGAACAGCTAAGGAACAAGGATCAACTTGGGAGTAAAGGGACAGGTGGACAGTGAATGGCCACTCCCATAGGGAATAAAGAGGAGCCAAAGGGGTGGG